GCTGGACTCCGAAAAAATTTGCAACCTTATCCGTCACCGGCCTGCTCTCTTCCTTTTTCGAGAATCCCACTAAAGTGGCATATTGACTATCAAACCTTCATTAGATTTCCCCCATACTTAGCCACATTGCTTTTGTATGGTGTTTCTAATGATGGGAATCAATAGGCTTCGCTTCCTTGTTGAATAATTTAGAGTATGACTTTTTCAATTTGGGGCTTGGCTTTTTACTTTGGTTTCAATATATCTGTAATTTGGTGATTGTTGTCTTAACACATATAAATAACTTAAACATAGGAAGAAAATTATACAAACACTCCTTTACTCATTTATAAATGAGGGAGTTGCAAAATGTTTAAAGTAATCATGCAGTTCTTAGGGGCCCTTGTATTTTATATAGTTATAATGCAGAAAATTCTACCTGTCTTACAGTTTATTACCTCAGATATTCTAAAGTCAAAAACCTTGAAATACTGTAGTACTATTCTGATGGTAATAGGTGATAACAAAGTATTAGACTAATCAAGCAAACCAATAAAATTACCTAAACATATTTGTAAAATAATATATTACCTATCAGAGGAATATGAATCCAGCAGAATTATGGGAAAAGAGTTATTTTCAGAGAGAGAGAGAGAGAGAGAGAGAGAGAGAGAGAGAGAGAGAGATTGTGTTCCCTCTTCCTTATATGTATTTGTACCCCTTGTTTGGTAAGAGGATAATGAATCTGAGAGTGTAAAGCAAGTAAATTCTTCAAAGAGGCGGATTAAAAAAAAACTTAATGTTGATCATATGTGCCCTAAATCAATCCTTGCTATTTTTTTTCACCAAGAGTGACAAAGGACAAGGTATGGTAATGATCAGATTTGGCCCCTTTTGATGGAAAAATCAAAACGGTTAACAATGATATTTTGAAGTTGAGAACTTTAATGTTTCTTGTTATAAAATTAGCGCTTATTTTTATTCAAATGATACAGAAAGGCTAAAAAGTAAGGCATTTACCAAATTTCTTCAGTTCTAATGGAAATATATCACATTTGATATACTTTTCACGTCAACAAACATAGAGCATAAGTTTATACACAACATGCGTATGATATACTGGTGCATGAAAAAGTAAACATTGTAGAAACGTAAGCTTGTACTCGATGTTCTTCTGAACCAAAATGTGCTGTGCAATTGATGAAAACCTGCATAAAATCATGAAAATCGGAAAGTGAGTTAAATAATTTCATAAAAAACAAGATGTGCTTGTGAAACACTCATGTCCCCGTATGGCAGCTTATGCCGAAGGTTGAAGTTTTTCAAATGCAAGTCAAACTCAAAGGTCAAAATTGTTGGTATCAAAAGAAAGGTCTTATTACAAGGAATAATCATGTGAAATGTGAAAGCCCTAGAACTATTAGTATATGTTCAAAGGTTATGGACAAGGTAAAAATATTTTTACGAATTGGGTGAAACTCTAAGGTCAAGAACAAAAATATTTATACCAACTGAAAGGTCTTGTCACAGTGAATACACATGTGACAGAAGTATGAAAGCCCTAGCACAAACTGTTCAGATGTTATGACCAAGGTTAACGTTTTGTATTTTTTTTGTGGTAAAAGTAGGTCAAACTCAAAGGTCAAGGTCAAGAGCTCAAATTTGGTGGTACCCTGTGAAAGGTCCTGTCACAAGGAATACACCTGTGAAATATGAAAGCCATAGTTCCACCCATTCAAAATTATGGACAAGGTTAAAGTTTTTGTGGACGAACAGGCAGACAGACTGACAGGGCAAAAACTGTTTACCCACCAATCTTCGTTTACGTGGACATAAAACTGCAAAACTGAATGCAAAATATGATTTAGATTTAGTAAATATAGATATTTACCAGTACTCCGCAAGTTCCAGTGAAAGCTTTATCTTTTATATATGAACGTCGCCCGCGTGGCCAGTGGTTAGAGCGTGTGCTCTAAAGTCGCGAAGTACGGAGTCAATCCTTATGTCGCGGGTTCGAATCCCACCGTGGGACGTGGAAACCGGTCCTTTGGATGAGACCGTATAAACCGAGGTCCCGTGTCGCAGTACGTGCTGGAACGAAAAAGATCCCTCCTTGCTCAACGGCCCTAAGTGCTAAGCATAGGACAAAATTTGCAGCTCTCAACCGGCAAGTGGTGGCGTCTCCATATGAGTGGAAAATTCTCGAGAGGGACGTTAAACAACATGCAAACACACAAACTTATATATGAACCTTAAATCTTGAATCTTTTAACATCTTATTTAGTAATCATAACATTTTGATTTGTTATTTTAAAGGGGGCTGGGGTGTTGTGGCCATTTTTCAGACTACTTTAACCTCCTTTAGAAGAACGGCTCCATATAAAGATATTCAAAAATGATCAAATTTTAAAACAAAAATATATGAAAATTTTCTTTGCCAAATGATAGTTGAAAGCTTAAGATATCATATCTAAAAAAATAATAATAAGTTAAATCTGGTGGTTGGTTTATTGACCCCCAGCCTCCTTAAAATCTTTTTATGCCTCCCTCAATCAAAGATATATATATATACACTGTTTTGTCCTTCTGTCGTCTTTCTTTCCGTCTATCATTTTGTTTGTTTGAGGCTATGGCTTTCATATTTCACAGGTGTATTCCTTGAGACAAGACCTTTCTTAGGGTACCACCAAATTTTATCTTTTGGCCTTGACCTTTGAGTTCTATCCAGTTATTTAAAAATTACCAAAAATTTCAAAACTTAAATTATAGCCATAAATTTTAAAAAGTTGGCGATATGGCTTTCATACTCCACATGTGTATTTACTGTGACAAGACCTTTCTTGGAGTATACACATTGCACATATCACAGATGTATTTATGTTCCTCTGTTATTATGCAAGACCGAAGCCAAGTCAACTGAGCTAGTTTTTTGATGGATCAAAATTAAAATAACAACAGTAGTGAAAGTGAAAAATTGTCATTTATTGAAGTAAATGACGCAAAACAAAATATAAACATATTATAAGGGGGTCAGACAAGACTAGAACAAACTTTGAAAGAATACAAACACAGATGTATTCTTGTCACAAAACCTTTCTTTGGATACCAACAATTTTGACCTTCAGCCATTACCATAACTTTTGAACTGTTAGTATTAGGGCTTTCATATTCTACATGTATAAGTGAATTTCATATAATGAGGCCTTTCTTTGGATACCAACAATTTTAACTTATGACCTTAGAGTTACCTTCTTTTGATAAACGTTAACCTGGTCCATAACCTTTAAACAATTGGTGCAAGGACTTTTTTAATTTCAGATCTGTATTCCTTTTGAGAAGTTTTTTCCCTTAGTACCATTAGTTTTGAGTCTTTTGACCCTTTTACCTTGACCTTGAATTTTGAATATTTTTTTTAAAAACTTTAATCCTGACTTTGGTTGAGCTTGGACTTTGATATTTCACGGGTATATTCATTCAGACAAGTTCCATCTTGCTTTTTAGTAATATTCATTTGATTGAAATTGTTAATTTTTACGAGAAAAAAATGCGATGTTAAACCGCATTTTGTCTCGGATTGTCAGTTTTCATAGACACACCGTAATTAACAACTCAGATTACGGATGATAATCAGTGACATTTATAGAAAAGTTTATCAATTTCATCCAAGCGAATAAAGAATGCATTAATCATTTAAAAGCACTTAATTTTTCGCGTCAGTAGCATGTTATATTTCCAATACTGTAACTAGCTCTATGAAAAAAGTCTATTTCAGTTCCTTTGGCCAAAGGCCAGAAGAGCTTATACAATAGTAAATTGTGCGTCGTCCATCCGTCTGTCCGTCTAAAACAATTTTTTCAAAACGCTACTCCTCCTACACGTCTGGTTTGCATGATTTCAATATAACTTGGTACACAATTAAGTAGAACTACATCATAAGATACATAATTATGTGCATCGGTTTTTGATTTCCAAGAACGGTGTTGCCATTCTTACTGAAATAATACGTTTCTGTGAAAAACATTCAAAGCCTACTCCTCCTTCAATTTTGATCTGACTTCAATAACTTCGTATACATCACATAACATGTAGAATTCACTAAGATACATAAATCTATATATAAGTTCTTGATTTCAATGAACAATATTTCTATGGTACTTGTAGTTACTAAAAATAAAATCTTATCAATATAATACCCCTATAGCATACAAAGATAAGTGTAAAGAAACTGGCATTCAAGATGTATTGTATAGCTAGTATCAAACAAACATATACCGCTATTTTATCCAGATTCTAAGACTATATGTTTCTTATAGTAAAGAGCGGGGACTTCCAATAAAAGAAAGACATCTTTTCTTTCTCGAAGAAAGACGAACGACTGTCCAATTTTCTCTGGCCTTGACAGGGTAGATTGATTAGGTTCTCTGTTCAGTAATTGTTTGTGTAAATTTTCTATCAACAAGAAACACTGTAATCTGATTGTTCCCCTACGCTTATGAAGGACAACTTGATTATTACTAATGAGAAATAAATCGGGAAAAAAACATGTTGGAAATGTCAGGAAATATTTGGACGAAGTGTGCACAAACTTTTACCAACTATGACGCTCAAACGAACACACTGACGGACGGTCAAAAACAGTTATTCACCGAAACTTTTAAAGTTAGAAACTCCGTTTATGAAACAAGAAAATTGATGCAAACGGTTTCGGGAACTTTTTTTCCATTATCGCCTTTGCATGACGAGTTGTATAGTTTTGATTCCTCTGATACGTGCGACAGTTGACTTTTACAAGTATGTGATATCGAAACTTTGACGCTTATTCTAAGTGTCTTTGGAAAAGGGGAATGTAATTTACTTGTGGCTTTATAGACCATCCACGGGGGATCGAGCAAGATTCAAAAAAGAAACACGATTCGGGCTTCCAGGATTTAAAACTATTGATCCTGGCGTTAACGAGTCGTGTTTTTCCATGAAGATATCTAATTACCAAAGCCCGTGTTTTCCATCGACGAAAGCTTTTATTAGAATCTCACACCATTAAAGAAGAAGTTTTAAGGGAAATAAAGTTTGACAAAGTTTAGTATAATATGATAAAAGAAAAGCAAAAGTTCCCGGACTTATCGCATTGCCTAATTCAGCATTCGGCTAAATGGAATCAATAAGTGCATGCGCGTCACTTTCCTCATTTGGTACATTTTTTACCTGGGCGATCAGATCTTGGAAGGGACAGAATGAATCTCAAAAATTGGAAAATTAAGTTCATTTCTGTTATTGTATTAATTGGAATTTCACATTCAAAAAGGGTAAGTGTCAGCATTTGATTGTTTTAAGATTTGATTAATTTGTTTTACGGTAGAATTGCAGTACATTTGGTGTATCCCAAAAATTGAGATGTGGTTCTAATTACATGTGTATAAATTCTTACTCTAAATTAATGTTACTTTTATCAAGACCTGTGCCTAAATTAAAGAAAATAAATGTTTCCATTAAACGTTGATGTTAGAGCTTGATGGACATGTAATTGCTAATCATTAATCAAACGGAATAATTTTCAAAATACCTGCTGTAATTTTGCAATTTTCTCCCTCAGCAAAATTGATTAAAGATGTAAAATTCATCAAATGTTAAAAAGGAAAAATATATAAAAATATTTTTTTAATATTGAAAATTTTAGTACTGAATTCTAGTCGATATAAAATTGCCCGTAGAAGATGGAAATAATTTTTCAATGAACTTTAATGTACCCTTATATGTGAACAAAGTGACAAAATGACAAAACGTGCCATATCAGGACTATTATGGTGTAACATCAATATTCTCTGTGAACAATTTCTAATTACGAAGCCAATTCCGTGCGTTTTCTCTCCTTTTAATGACCAGATAATGAGACAAAGATCGAAAAAAGAACACTAGGCGAAAATTAACTTACATCCTGGTGTTGCATGACTTAAAATGGATGAAAGGGTACAATATCGTGATAAATATATACCTGGACTGATGTGGACCAGTTTTTCATGACTTGCACACATAAAACAACGAATCTCGTGGTAGAACATAACTCATTCAGAAAAAAAAAACTACATGGGAACTGCAAATTCAAAATCATAGTAAAAATGAGCAATTCTGAAGAGCAAACAAGAAAACAATGCGATTTGCCATAAAACCGTCATATAAAATCGAAATATGCATTCAAATACCAATAGCAAATGCAGGCGTAAAACAAAGCTGTACTGAATAGTCAGTTTTAAAACATACAAATTGATGTCGACTCCTTTGAACAATTTCCAGATTTGTAAGGTGTCTGTTTAGCAAGAACTGAAAGCTACTTTTCAGTAGAATGGAATGCTAAATTACTATACCGTAGTAATCAAAGGACTTTGGTCCAGTCCTAGAGCAACGCCATTTTTTTTCTGTTTTTATCCTTGATCAAATAATTACACTGTGGCATCATGACATTACCAGTGGATGGTGCCAAGTGCTTATGAACCCAAAGCACAGACTTAAGTTGCTAATATGAACTATCCATTACGGACAATCATTTGACAAGTATGGAATCCGGATAGGGCCACGCACTTCACTATCGCACCATCGAGCATCAACTTAAAGGTCGATGGCGCGATAATGCGATGGCGCGATAACGATGAAACGGTGGTGCGATAACTATGAAGCGATGATGCGATAGCGCGATGACGATGATGCTATGGCGCGATAATGCGATGGCGATGGTGCGATCATGAGCGATAGTGAATAACTGTACTGCACCATCGTCATCGCATCATCGTGTCATCACTATCGCACCATCGCGTCATCGCATTATCGCACCATCGTCATTGCATTGTCGCGCCATAGCATCATCGTCATCGCGCTATCGCAACATCACTTCATCGCTATCGCACCATCGCCTCATCGTCATGGCATTATCTCTTCATCGCACTATCGACCTAAACCTCGATGGTGCGATGATGCGATAGTGAAGTGCGTGGCCCTATCCGGATTCCATAGACAAGTGTCAAAGTGACTTAGCGATCTATTTTGCCCCTTCATCGTGTGATCTTTTAGTCTTTGAAGTAATATTTTATATGGATTTAACTAGTATCCTTATTAGTGGTATGAACATGGTATAATGGTCCCTTTTGTTTGCGGTATGCTGTTGCCAAATTGTTGTTAATCAGACTATTAAGTAAATTTACCAAAACTCTCTCCTTGAACGTCCCTTGGAGAAGAACGGAAATCTCCGGTGCTATCAAACGGATGTAGTATCACTTCTTGTACAATCGTGTATCGATCGGACTAGATTGATTAGATTAGGGGAATATACCCACATCCAGTCATAACACTGACAAAAGCTAATAAATTTCATTTCTTGAACAGCCTGTCGATGACACTCAATGCCTGCCATGCTGCATGCTGATTGGTGTACATGAATGTTTTATATTCCGTCTCCGAGGACTAACGATATTTTCATTTAGTTGTCCATTAGCTTGGAGAAGACAGGTCATCTCATGAGGCAGTCTACGATAGAACAGACGTTCGACATCTCAAACAAATTGTGCTTTATTTGTCTATAGGTCAATATTAAACGTTTCCTGAGGAGTGCTTTACAACAAAAAACGTGGTCAATTGTACTGTTTTGAAGCATCTCGTTTTATCTTTTTCCAATTTCCACCGAGATTGATACAACTAATTTAATTTAGTTGCTTTTAGAATAAAAAAAAAACATTTCAATAAAATTATAGACAATTTAAGAGGGAAAAGTGAAACCCAATGAAACAGAGTGGAAGATTATATGGATAAAATTTGATATCATAGACAAGATAGGGTATCGAACCATTATTAAACTGAACGTCATGTAGCTCACTGGTCTGAAAAAATAGGTATGAATGACCATATCCATTTTTTTCCAAATTAGTGGGCTATAGACCTGCGGCTAGCCACGAGGTTAAGAAAGACCCCAGTAATTCATAAAAATAATTAATTGAACAAATGTCCATCTTGTATTTGTGAAACACTGATTCCCCTTACTTTTTAAAAAAATAATTTGAAGGTCAAAATCGATGAAATCCAAGGAAAGGACTTGTCACAAGAAATATACAGGTGAAATATAAAAGTCCTAGCAGCAAATATTCAGAAGTTACAGTCAAGGTTAAAGTTTTAAAAAAAGTCAAACTCCGAGGTCAAGGTAAAAAAAAAAAGATGATCAAATGAAGATCTTGTTCTTCAGCTAGTACTAACTGTTTTAAAGTTAAGGCCAAGTTCATTTTTTAAGTGGGTCAAACACTGAGGTCAAGGTCAAAATTATTTACACTCAAGGAAATGTCTGTTACAATGAATGCACGTGTGAATAGAAAACCAAGGTCAAGAGGTCAAATATATTCATAGTTTCATACCTAAAGTAAGATCTTGTCACAGGAAAAACACGTATAAAATATTAAAGCCATATACCAGTATCTCCAGCAAACCAAAAGTTATTTAAAAGTTTTTTGCGGACAAACAGATTAGCAGGAAAACAGACAGACGGACAAACTGGGCAAAAACTATATACCTCGAATCTTTGATTACGGGGACATATTAAACATTTTCATCATCTTAAGCGATTATTCTGTAATCCAGAAAACTCTGGCATAACAATATTAGATTTACGCATTCAAACTTTGATGACTACATGAGAGGAATATCAAATGATAGTATTTGGTGATAGCAGTAAAGACATTATCACATGGCATCTCTTTCAATAATAGAAGAGATTTTTTTGTCAAATTGATCCTCCTGCATAATATCATAGTCTAGATACAAGAAAAGAAATACGTACTCGAGATTGCATAAAATATTGTAATATGACACAGATAAAAAGTTATAAAGCAATATCAACCGAACACTCCTTAATTCTGTAACCTCGGTCTTTGAATAAGATGGTTTTATCTGTTCCTTCTTGAAGTTGCTTTGGCTTCCAAGTCATAAATAATAAATGTATCACGGCAAAGAAATCCAGAAAACCTAATTCTAAGCCCAAACATGTCATTTTTCCCGCGGGATCGGCCACCACGATTAAGGAAAGTTGTGGAATAGCAAGTGGTTTATCAAAAACAATACATCAATTTCAGAAGAAAAAAATTATCACGCCATCTTTAAAGTATAATTATAGATTGTTCAGGGGCTTTTGGTACATGGGAATCCCATTGTACGCTAAAATAAATCCAGTTGACATTTAACTTGTGCCAAAATAGATCAAGACATCCTGGACGCAATGCACTACTTAAATCAAGGAAGTCGTACGTCACAGGCTCTTTCTGTTACCAGTCATTTATTATATGTACTCTTAAAGGTTGCTTTCCTCTGTCTTTGGACACACAGGATAAAGATTATAAACTTCAAATTTATTTTGGTCTAATGAAGCAGCATTCTGTCGAAGAATTGATGCATTTTGTGAGCACTAATAGTAAAAACATAATTTCTAAAACGACGCACTCAGTAATCAAAGAGGACCCTCTATGAAATGCTAACTAACAACACCCATAAATCATTTATATTAATAGTGAACATTTCAATGGAATATTAAAGGGTGTTTATTTTAAAGAATGGGGTGAGTTCATTTAAAATGCAATATAAGAACTACTATACTTTTCAAATTGCCCGTTTAGCTTTTTCTGAATTAAATACTAGTATTCCTAAAATGCATGTGTACAACACTGGTTTTTGTCATATTTTTTTGTTGTTGTTTCAGTACAAATACTGCGGGGAGGGATGCTGTCCTCACGAATTCTGTGCTTATCATAAAATCTGCTACCCCATCATCCATTGCGATCCCACGTGTCCGGACGGAAGCTGTCAAAATGGACTTTGTTTTCCAGCCAAACCTTGCACGAAGAATTTTGAATGTGGTTTTGCAGAAACCTGTACATTCAACTACAACCTTGGCTACACTACATGTCAATATAACCTGAACATAGGAGAGACTCTTTGTTCTGATCGAAATGGAAATGCTGCATATAACCCTAATCCAGACGAAAGTCCATTTGTGCACGAAAGTTTTAATAACGAGAATAATTTTTAGATCACCTGAACTGAGAACTCAAGTGAGCTTTTATGATCAATAGTTTTCTGTCCAGCTGTCTGTCCGTCTGTACACTTTTCACATTTCCGACTTCTACTCAAGAACAACTGGGTCAACAAGGTTGACACAAAGCATTCTTGGTTAAGGGAAGTTTAATTTGTTAAAATGAAGGGACAATCCCCCTTACAAGGGGAGATAATTAAGAAAAGACAAACATAGCTTGGGGTCATTAAATAATACTAGTATTCTTCTCAAGAACCACTAGGCCAGGAAAGCTGAAACATGTGGAATCATCCTGGGGTAGTGTAGATTATGAATTGATCAAATCATGACCGCCTGGATAAAGGCAGGCCCATAAGAAGTAATCTAAAACAGTGAAATATTTAGAATTTTTTTTAATAAAAAAAATCTTCTTCTTAAGAACTGGGCCAGAAAAATTGAAACTTGTATGGAAGCATCAGGGGGTAGTGAAGTTTCTAAATTGCTCAAATCATGACTCCCTGGAGGTAGGGTGGGCTAAAATAGGAAATCCATTGAACATTGAAATATTGAAAAAAATCTTTAAAAAATTTCTTCTCAAGAACCACGTAGCCAGAAATGCTAAAACTGATACATAAACACCTTGGGGTTGATCTTCAAATCATGGTCCCTGGGGTTGGGTAAGACTACAATAGGTATTGCAAGGATGGAAATATGGAAAGTTACTCAGGTGTGCAATGTGGGTCAAAGGCCTCTCAGATTTTTTTTCAGAATAACCTTCGAATTGAAGATTTCATTCATTTCTGTATTATATATTTACAATGTCTTTTAACTTTTTTTTGTTGAACTGTAATACATGTATACCATGTTAGAGAAAATTTACATTCTATATGTGAGAATAATTTTGTTATTTATTATGCCTCGCCATAGTGTTTGTAATGTCCGTCTTCCGTCCTTCCATCACACTTTGCGTTTAGCTCAATTCAAAGCTCAGTTTCATATGCTGATAGATATTTATGGCACGCCATATTCACAAAAATGAGATAAACCTAGTTTCACAATTGATAAAATAGGTTTATCGACTGTAAACCCGTAGCTTACAAACCGTAAACTATAGTTAACGATTTGTTAAGTATAGTTTTCATCTGTAAAACTATATTTAACGGTTGTTAACTATACTATATACGAATGCTAATCTAAGTTTATCTGTCTGTAATAAGCGTTAACAATAGATTTTGTTGATAAACATAGATTCACGTTTGTAAACTATAGTTTACAATCGTAAACTATAGTTAAGAGTTGTTAATCATAGTTTCACAAATCGTGAACTATATTTATCAGATCGTTAACTATAGTTAACGGTTTGTAAACTATAGTTTACAAATCGTGAAACTGTATTTATCAGATAATCTATGTTTTGCAATCGCAAATGTATGGCACGCCAAATTCACAAAAATGAGCTAATCATAGTTTCACAGTCGATAAACTAGGTTTATCGGTTGTAAACTATAGTTTACGGACTGTAAACTATAGTTAACAACGTTAATCTATATTTTACATCTGTAAACCATACTTAACGCGATAATCTATGTTTCACAACCGTAAACTATACTTAACACCAAAAACGATCATTTGCGATTGCAAAACATAGATTATCTGATAAATACAGTTTCACAATTTGTAAACTATATCGTTAACTATAGTTAACTGATAAATATATCACGATTTGTGAAACTATGATTAACAACTCTTAACTATAGTTTATAATTGTAAACTATAGTTTACAAACGTGAATCTATGTTTATCAACAAAATCTATTGTTAACGCTTTATTCAGACAGATAAACTTAGATTAACATTCGTAAACTATATTTAACGACCGTTAAATATAGTTTTACAGATGAAAACTATACTTACCGAATTGTTAACTATACTTAACGAATCGTTAACTATAGTTTACGGTTTGTAAACTATAGTTTACAGTCGATAAACCTAGTTTATCAATTGTGAAACTAGGTTTATCTCATTTTTGTGAATTTGGCGTGCCATACAAATGATTGTTTGCGGTGTTAAGTATAGTTTATGGTTGTGAAACATAGATTATCGCGTTAACTATGGTTTACAGATGCAAAATATAGATTAACGTTGTTAACTACAGTTTACAGTCCGTAAACTATAGTTTACAACCGATAAACCTAGTTTATCGACTGTGAAACTATGTTTAGCTCATTTTTGTGAATTTGGCGTGCCATAGATATTGACGAACCTTTCATTTGACCTTGATCTCACTTTTCTTACATTAGTGTTTAGCTCAGTTTTAAACATGTACACTTCAAGAAAGTTCATATGTTGATACATACTGATGAGAGCTATTCAACTGCATCACTATTTTTGACCTTGACAACACTTTTCTTCAATTAGTGTTTAGCTCAGTTTAAAAAAAACCATCCAAGACATTTTTATCAAACTTCGTATGCTGATACATACTGAAGCGAGCTATTCAATTGCATCATCATTTTTGACCTTGACCTTTACTTTGACTTCACTTTTCTTAAATTAGTGTTTAGCTCAGTTTTAAAGAAATCATTCAAGATATTTTTATCAAACTCCAAATGTTGATGCATACTGATGAGAGCTATTCAAATGTATCAACATTTTTTACCTTGACCTTTCCTTTGACCTCACTTTTCCTATATTAGTGTCAGACTTCATTTGCTGTCATTGCTGATACATACTTATGTAAGCAATTCAACTGCATCCACATTTTTTACCCTGACCTTTCATTTATCCTTGACCTCACTTTTATCATTGAGTTTAAATCAGTTTCAAAAAAACATTCATATATATTTTTTAACTTCATATGCTGATACATACTGATGAGAACAATTCAACTCCATCAACATTTTTGACTTTGACCTTTTCTTTGACCTTGGCCTCTCTTTTCTGAAATTACTGTTTAACTTCATATGCTGATACATACTGATGTAAGCAATTCAAATGCATCACTATTCATGATATTCTGATCAAATTTCATACACTAATACAAATTTTCATGTTGCATTATTAATATACCCTCAGTGGGACATTCATGTTCTGTGGCCATATTTCTAGTTTCTAATAGTTTACATGTACCTTGAATCAATTTACATTATAAAAGGATGTTATAAACGAAAATGCATAGAATGAAATGAAAACATTTGTCACATTAATGTCATTTAATTCAGAAATCCTCTTCATTCATTTCAATCACAACCAGTTTCACACTTTGTAAGCTTTACCATTTTTCATTAATGGGAATAGGGAAATTCAGGAATAATGTAATGATCGATGTACATTAAAAACATCATTATTGTATATTGTATTTATTAAGTATTATTTTTTATTGTATTATATTAATCATAGTAAAAATGTTACTGTTTTATTATATCAAGTATCATGATAAATACTTCATATGTAAATTCATGCAGGCACTTACTTCTGTAACAAATTTTAATCTTTGAGCTAGTTCAGTAATAAAGCTATGGGTTAAAACATTTATAAAGGAACAAATGCATGCATGCAAGGATCATTTGAAAATTTAAAAGAATACAACAAATATGAATGAATGATCCTGCATAAAGACCTTTTGAATCATTGATAGGAATTTATATGAATGATATTTTTTATTAATTTGAATTTTTTAAATGTCCAATGTGAATTTGTATTCTTTTGTTATTTCTTGGAATAACAATTTTCCAAAAAATCTCTGATTACATTAAAATGTGCACTTGGTACATTAATTTTCTTTATGTACTTAGAAATATTTGATAAATATCTTTTGAAATAAACTACTTTCTGAAATACTCATTTTAAATACAGTAATACATGTATAAATGCAAAGCACTTGAGGTTATTAGCTACTTAATCTACAAAACGTCTGGAATGTAAAAAAATAAATATTCATTTCTTTTCAAAATATACATTGTATTAAAATCCTTCTACATCGTAGTTGCACTGAAAAATAATAAATGCAATCAGTGATAACAGAAAATCTGTCAAATTGAAACATTAGTTTCCAATTATTTGAAATATGCCTTGAATTTACTTGAATGTACATCTTTAAGATTGCAAGCACAATTAATTAAAAAGAAAAAAAAAGATGTCATTAATTGTTTTTTCAAATAATGGAAATATTGCCTTTCAGATCACTGAAAACAAATTTGATGTCAATTTGATTTAAACAAAGTCACAACCATGCTAAAGACATTCAAAAAATTAGTACATGTACATATGAATTATTCTTTGCTTTGAAATCAACAAGTGTAATTTCAAACTGAACAGAAAAAAATGATTTTTGAAATCTCTACATATAATATTGTCAACAAATCAACAAGTCATCATTTTTACAAAATGTATGCAATATATCTAATTTATAACAATATATTTAAAACTAGTATATATATATATATATATATATATATATATATATATATATATATATATATATATATATATATATATATATATATATATATATAAAAAGCACTAAAAAAACCAACAACACTGTATATCCAAAATGTCGGTTTCTACCAAGTAGATACAAGGTCACGGATGGAAATTTATATAAAGCACTAAAAATGACCAACGACAATTTTTATTGTTCGTGTCGTTGGTCATTTTTAGTGCTTTATATATATATATATATATATATATATGTTAGTGCACCAACTAATTTGCATTGTAATTTGCATATGTCAAGGTTAGGCCAGAGGACAATTTCCCTGCTTTGCATAAATGTCAAAATTTGAACACCTATTAGAAGAAACCAAACAAAACAAAAATAACAAACAAATGCACAATAGTCCAGGAATACAAAAATACTAAAAAAGGACAAAATCAGTCATCTCATCACAATGTTCCAATTTTCCTTACACATAAAAAAGATAATTCTACTGGTAAAAATATAATTGTTTTGTGTTTTTTTAAAATTGTGATTTACAAAACAGAAAAAAAAATCCTCTGGCCTCAATAACAAAAGTACAGCACTATACAAACATAGAAGTACTCATTACGAATTTTTACAGTGACGTACATTCATCAGATTTATCACAAAGAAACACAACTTTTCTTCAGATATTCTTCAGCGAAGTTTTGAGGACTTTTGGTAGAGGTAAGCTTTCGGCGGAATCGTTATAATCCAAATGTCTCTTAATGGTCTGTAGACACTTTTCCTGGAGAGTCAGATATCGACAATACTGTTCCCCCAGTCCCAGCTCCGTTTCTGACGCCGTGGAACTGACGATGGGATATAAACAACCTGAGGCATTGTTTAGTCCAGTGAAGGCCACACCCATATATGTCCCATTGATGCTGAATGCCAGGGTCCCTTTGTACAGATTAAGGTGGCATCCTATCACAGTTGTCTTATCAAAGAAAGGTTCACAATACTGAATTTTTTGGCCTCCATGCCATGTTGTGCCTTTGTAAGATAAGCCCCAGCTCTCTTTATCAAACCCTGTTCAAACAAAAAATATATATCTTAAAATCTATTTTACTTTTTTTTTAAGCAGCTCATAAAGAAACAGTGGATTTTAATCAGCTGATACGTGACTATATGTATGTGGATAATTTACAAATTTCTTCATTTGTAAACTTTTTCATGCTCAGGGGAAATTAATAAATTGTAACCAATCAATATGTACATGTACTTTAACCTCTGTCATTTTACCAACTTCCTGACACAAACTACTGATAACAAAACTCTCATTACTTCCTTGAGTTTATCACACAACCATTCTCTCAGAGGAATCAAGATATGAAATAACTAATTCAATCAAATATTAATTATTAAAATGGTACTCACCAATCAGGTCTACATATTCATAATTACTTCTGTGTAGAACTGCATTTTCAGTTCCTACACCCACCATCACAGAGGTTCCACATGGGGGTTCCAGGAAAACAATTTCCCAGTAGTGTTCTCCCTCTGTGAACCCCTTTGAGCCTCTAACTCCTGAAAATAAAATATAAATGCAACCATGCATAAGAAAATATACATTTATATATTTTTTTTTCAGTTACTAATTAGAATTATGATAAATTAATGAAAATGAAAACAGACATTTGAAAATTTGCGTAAGCTCTTAAAACTGGGGGAGGGGGTGTAAATCCTCTGACTTCAAGCTTAAATTAAGTCAAGGTCAAACTAAAATGCATATTAAAAAAGTACCATGCTCAAAATCAGACAAAAGTATCACTTAACTTGATTTTCACTGAAGAAAAGTATGAATATATACTTCTAATAATTGATTTATAATTTTAATAATAAATTTACATATCATACCAGCAGTTCCTGTGCTTTCATATATAGGGTCAATATAGAAGTAAGCACTATGTCTGTCTTTAGAAAGCAAAACTTCTGGAGATTTGGCAACTTGATCCCAAACCCAATATTCCTGTTGAAATCCACTGAACATATTATTCCTACAAGTTTACATTTAAAGCACAGGTAAGAAAATGTATAAAAGGCACATTCATAAAATATTGTTATGCATGAATGAATGATTCAACATTATATCATGTGTAGATTAAATGATTATATTTTATTACTTTGAGACATGCCAAACTGCTGATTAATTAACAAAATTCTATTAAGCATTTACAATAAAATTAATGCATGAATTAATACATTAATGCAAGATAACTCAACAATATAGTGGGTCAGTATAAACAATCTAAACATTTTTTGATGGGTGTAGCTCGGGGGGTTGGGGGTGGTGGTTAATTCTTTTAGAGAAGTGGACAGGCTTTTGCCTACATCCATGCAGACGAAAGCCTGCCCACTTCTCTAACGAGAATGGGGGGTGGGGAGGGGGTGCTGTGTATCTATATATAGCTACAATTATATATCTATGCCACAGGCACTTATTTCTGTCATATTTTTGACCCATAGTAAAACAATTTTATACTATGGATCCAAAATTTTATTACAAAAAGAATTCGAAGTGTTATAAATGATATAGAAATCAACGCATATTTTATGACATTTACATTGATAAAAGGTCTGTGCAGCATTAAAAGACATTGTCAAGAATATATGTTATCATACAATAATGTTTATAACAATCACAACTGTAATGTACTTACAGTCCTCTCTTGAGAGTAAACTGGTGAAGTAAATATCTACTAATGTTTACAATTTATATATTCCTATCGTGCGCAGTGTTTACTTCCAACGTCCTTGACCTGAACATAGGAGATAACAAAATCCCAAATCCATGTAAACAATATCTTCGCGTTGACGTGCACTTAGTCACATACCTACATAGGTAAACTAGTGTCACATTTTACAGACAATAGACGTATTTATTTTCCACAGAACCCACAGTATTTTGTTCGTCAAAATGCAACGTTCTACTGAACACCTCGATGATTGGACATGTGAGGCACACCCCTTGTAAAAGTTCTTGGTAAAATGAGTGAACGACAAGAGACGGGGCGGGTGACATATCTAATTTTTATGCCCCAGTAAACGAAGTTTCGGGGGTGTATAGTTTTTGACTGTCCGTCCGTCTCTATGTCTGTCTGTTTTCCCGCAAAAATTTAACCCTACCCGTAACTTTTGACGGGGGGGGGGGGGGGGGGGGGGGATATGGCTTTCATATTTCACAGGTGTATTCCTTGTGACAAGACCTTTCTTTGGGTACCACAAAATTTGAACTCTTGACCTTGACCTTGGATTTTGACACACCTTTACACCAAAATTCCAAACATTTACTTTGACAATGACTTTTGAACGGTTGGTGCTAGGACTTTTATTCTTCACAAGTGTATTCTATGGGAATACCTTAAAATCGATTGGATACCAACAACAATGGTTCTATGACTTTGACCTTGGATTTTACATGGCATACTTTCAAAAACTTTAACCCTGGCCATAACTTTTGAACGTTAAGGGATAGGTTTTCATACCTCACAAATGTAATCTTTGTGATAAGATCTTTTGGATTCTAACAACTTTGACCCTTTGACCTTCTTAGTTTGACCAACTTTTGAAAAAAAAACTTTAACCTTTGCAATAACTTTTGAACGGTTAGGGTTAGGGCTTTCATACTTTACGGAAGTATGATCCCATGTGTAATCTTTGTGACAAGACCTTTCTTTAGTAACCAATTAACAACCTTGACCATGGAGTTTTGTCTACCTTTAAAAACATTAACCTTGTCCATAACTTTTGAACAGGTGGTGCTAGAGCTATTTACCATTTGTATTTCTTGTGAGAAGACCTTACTTTGGGTATCAACATGATTGATTTGCATTTGAGAAAATTTAGCCTTCGCTATGTTGCCATATGGGGGCATCAGTGTTTCACATACACATCTTGTTTTTTTTTTTTTTTAAATCCAGTTCCAACCAATCTAGTGATATAACCAAGCTAGGTTAAAGTTTGGCCAGTAATTTTTGTGAAAAATGGGTCAAACTGCACGGTCAAGGTCAGAGGTCAAATATTATGCTGATATGAAGGAAAAATATGTTGTTACCCAAAGAAATGTCTGGTCACAAGGAATACATTATGTGAAATATGAAAGACATAGCTCCAACCTATCAAAAGCACATGGATAAGTTTAACATTCAGTATTTTTTTAAGAACACACAAACAGACAAATAGCTAGACAGACGGATGGACACGGTATGAACTAATTATATGTAATATACAAACGAATCTTTGATTACAAGGGGCATAAAAAATGTTAGGCAGGCAAAGATAGACAACTCTACCTAATCAATTGGACGAACCTTGAAACAATATTAGAACGGCTTTATGAAAAAAAGTTCTTCGTTTTTAATTTATTTTGTGGATTATTTTACCATACAAACTTTGAACAGATGCAGTTTAATTTAACAGAAACAGATAGGGGAGACGAAAATATGTCATTAATTATCGATACTCAGCGAAGCAAAGCTATTTTTGGAGAAGCGAAGTGAGATCGGCTCTGATTAGTCAACGCATTTTACCTTTGCTTTGCACATGCGCTGAACGCAGTGACCAAAACGACAACTTCCGGTAAATAATCTGCTTGAAAGTTGATGATACAAAATATCACATCTTGTTTATCCAGGACAAGACGAAAATGTATTATGACGGAAGTCAGGAATTTGAACTGGAGGAGGATAAATTGTATGATTTATTTATTTTTATCTGCATTAAAAGTCGCTTTAAAAATGTATGAAAACATTGCTATACCATTACCAGCTGTTTTTCTATGCACATTATTTTACATTGTGCACTATTAATTTTATGGGATGATTTGAAAATAAACAAGGTAAAATCAGAGATAATTGCAAATAGTTTGTAATTTTAGCAAGGGTTTAAGTGTACCAGGACCAAATTGTTTTTGTCACGTGATAAAGCATGGTCAAAATCTGTCATGCGTGCAACATGTGTCGCAAATGTTTCACAATAGCGATATGTATTTGTGTATTGATGTGACGTGGCATGTTATATTCATCAGTATCAGATACAAAATTCTCTGTCAAAAAACTCTGGAAATTGCAGTTTGGAGAGGCCAAGTAAAATCATGAACAATTGAATACCTAGTATAGTTGAAATGGATGAATACATTCATGAGTATGAATATACACTGGTTCCAACTTTTGATATGGATGAATATGACCCTGAAGAAGATGGATACTTTGAATATTTACCAGAGGATAAAATGTATACTGATTTATGGAGTTTATTATAGTTGTTTTGCATTTGTGTTTCAATTTATTTGCAACCGAAGACTATTATCCTGTTACAGTGTTCAATAAGCATGATTTTCCCATTTATGAGATTTAACTTTTTGTATTAGAAGTGCATTACAGAGGGATTTAGGGCAAGGAATTGTATTCATTTTTTAAAGTGCATTTTTCCTTTTTTTTTGTACTTTGAAATTATAGAATTTATTGTGTATTGCTATCATATTTTGTTCACATCAATCAAGGTCCAGTACATAAGTTAACTGACAAATGTAAATATATACTTGAGTTTTTAATTTATTATCACATTTGACTTGATCATGATACATGTATTTGTGCATGAAAAGCTGTACAATAGATGAATGCTTTGCAGGATATGCTTAATTGACTCAATGACTCTTATTTTTCTATTAAATATTTGTAGGGGTATGACAGTGACCTCAGGAGTGGTCACATTACAGAAGGATTCACAGAACCTGATAGGTATCAGTATAGGGGGAGGGGCACCTCTCTGTCCCTGTCTGTATGTGGTGCAAATTTTTGACAATACTCCTGCTGCCAAGGATGGAACCTTAGCCTCAGGTGATGAGATTGTGGCAGTCAATGGACAGACAGCCAAAGGTCGAACCAAAGTGGAAGTGGCCAAAATGATACAGTCCATAAAAGTAAGTATGTCTTCAATGAATAATTATAATAATTTTATATAGTGTATTATTTTAGGAAGATCTATGTTTTGGCACTACTGGTGCAATTCATGAGCAATTTTGAAACTGGACCAATGTGTTCATGTATTCTGGATCTAGTAGCTGAGTATACCGAAGTGTTTTGAGTGTAACAGTATTAAAGCCATTTAACAAAGCAGTTGCGTACTCATTATCATATGTTATACTTCCCTAAACTTGTATGGTAGTCACATGATGGAAAATATGTCATCAGTGATTTTTCTACAATTTTTAAAAGGGGCCTGGGCCTTTTCAATTGGGAAAAATTGTCGATATTTGTGTCAAATTGGGAAAACAATAAGATTGTTACTAATCTTTATGTTGACAAATAAAATAAAATATATAAGTAAATGTTATATCATTTATTAAACTTATTTGCTTCAAAATGTTTCAACAAAATGGACACAATTCTACATTTTTAATTTTTTTTCCCCCTTTTTTTGTTCTTTGATTGTCCTATATTTCATTTTTTGCCATAATGGTAGACATAAGTGAGAAAAAAATAATTCCCGATTTCTCGTTATTGCTCGCATTGGAGATGGAATAATCTTGACATGATTAACAAACAAAAGTATTGTCGATTTCTGTGCAATGCTAGTATCTGCAGGATGAAGAAACGTTTTAATTTTCTTGAAATCAATGACACTTATTGTAGAACTACTAGTACTTGCAATTTACAAATAAAGCTATGTTTAACCGATTCTCATGCATATTAAATTTCTTACGATGTATTGACATACAAGTTTGACCACATGATCGATGTGTTTTTCCAAGTCTTGCAAACACACAAATAAACTGCTGTTTTTGCCATTATTTGAAGCGTCCGAATGACCAAAAACAATAGCGTTTCATTTTAGATAAGTCGTACATAAAAAATTCAATATAACCAAAACAATACGTTTTGATTTTGGGAAAAAAGCAGTTGAAAATTGGGAAAAAATCGGCAATTTTTGAGAGGGGAAAGGGCCGATATTCGGACCTAAATTGAGTGTAGAAAAGTCACTGGTCATACTGCAAATGTTTGATGTACACCCCTGTCCATTGCTAGTACTTTAACAAATTAATGGGGTAGTTAAATGGATATAAACAAATACAACGTATTACAGTCATAGCAATGTAAATTTACATATCCCCAGGACTTTCCTACAATTGATTTAAACTATACTGCGAGCAAAGTTTCTCAACTTTTATATGATAGTAACATGATTTTCTTGTTACAGGGTGAGGTGTCCATAGCTTACAACAAGCTACATGCAGATCCCAAACAGGGCAAATCACTAGATATCGGTCAGTATTTTGTTCTCAGAATTTGCGAGATTATAATGCAAAGTAGTGTAAATAAAAGTTATTATTGAAACTTGTAATATATGTAACATGCTCCTTTCACTATTTGTATAAATCCTATAATATATTTATTTTATGATTTCAGTGTTAAAGAAAGTAAAACACCGAGTTGTAGAGAATATGAGTTCTAATACAGCAGACGCCCTGGGTCTTAGCAGAGCTATTTTATGTAATGGTAGGTTTTCCTTCTTACATTCATGGCGGAGAGATTACTATTACCTCCCCATGTGTTTAGTCATTACTTAAGTCAGTACATATTAGGAGAGTAGTTTATTTGATATGTAGTCAAATGCAGAAAACTTTCAGATTCTCTTAATTTGTTAAAATTGTCACACAACTATACAGCACCAAATGTACAGAAGGGTTTAATTTTTAGTGAAGTTATTGAAATGTATAGACATGTATTATGATTTCATGTTTCAGATGGTTTAGTGAAGAAACTTGAAGAGCTGGAAAAAGTGGCAGACACATACAAAGGGTTAATAGATCACACCAAAAAACTCCTGAGAGCTACCTTTGAGCTCTCTCAATCACATAAAGGTATGAACTGTCTATGTGAGTCGTCAATCCTTACAATTTACATGTTAGTTAGCCAGATCATGTGTCTAAAGAGAAGCTCTATGTAATAAAGGTCACACATTTGGCCAGTTTTTGAACTTTATACCTTTCATTGATTTGTGACCATCAAGTAACGGTTGCTCCAGTTCTAAATTTACCATACATGCCAACTTTCCCGATTTAGGCGGGATTCTCCCGATTTTACCCTTTCATCCCGCCTTCCCGATCGGGAGAGAAAAATTGCCCCAATTTCCCGATTTGAAAAAATTCAGATTTTCAGTTTCCCTACCGCCGAATTTTGTCAATTGGGATAAGAATATCAGAGTTGTTTATTCAATGCACACAGATAAGTCTCATTGTTTATTTAGCATGCAGAGTTAATTAGCCACAGGAAACCACTTCTCGCTTCAACGCACACGCTGCTGTCCAGGTACAGGTAGCAAGCTCTTATAGCCTGGAGCAGTTAGGGGATTAATCTTTGTAGTTTGAAGGGGTTTGCGAAGTGAAACACATAGATTAAGGGCTTAATTATTAGTAATTGTATTAAAAACAAAAATTAAAGTCAATAAAATGATAATCAAACAATAAAATTGAAATCCAAGAAGATCGTTTTTTTTCAAAACGAAAGTAGAAAATTTCAAAGCATATATAGCTGCTGATTTTGACTGCTATTAATAAAATCATTGTATAGTTTGTCAATTAAAAAAAAATATTGAAAATAATTTAGATTAAATAATACTCTCATGTTAAGTACACTAAATTCCCCCCCCCCCCCTCCCCCCGTTCTCCCATAGATCATACTCATATTGTACATTGTATTTCTTTGTTAAATATATGTCAAGGAAATATCAGAGACCCATATGGCATTGCCACAGTCCCATTTTGGGACTGCAAAAGTTCATCATGTTCATGATGTAGTCTTTTACAATTTTAATTTTTCTTTGGGATGGGTGGGAGTGGGGCTTGTGTTAAAAAATTCATGATTTATTTAGGCCTATTTCTCCAAATTGTTTTGTGTGTGAGATAAAAATTATCATGCAGTGTCTATATACTTACTTATAGGAAATAAAGTGACACTTGATTTTAAGGGTACATACCAGAAACAAAATGTAAATTGATAGAATAGAGTGACAACTATTAAGCAAAGATATTTAAATTTGGAAAAATAAAACTTTAATTTGTATTGAATTATTTTTGCTGTATAAATAAGTGCTATCAATATTATAATTTAAAAAAAAGTATTTCATAATCATTTATTTTCACGACAAAATGTCGCGAATTTAAAGCTTTGAAAATTGTCGTCACGTGCAAAATCCCCCATGGGAATTTTCAAAAGTTGGCATGTATGATTTACTGTAAATAACTTTTTATTTGAGAGAACTTTATTTTGCATAATTACACAGGTTTGTCTGCTCGTGAAAAATTTTTCGCATTTACTAACATCAGTAAGGATTTTAAACAACAAACACCAGAGCTCACAAAAATTTTATCTGACTTAAAAACAATAGCTTTCTTGCAAAAATCAGGTGTCACAAATATATAGTGATCTACAGTATTATAAATACATGTACCAGTATCTTTCATAAAAAGAATAAATATTTATACACTGCATCAATTTTCCTTGTTTTGCAGCGTTTGGGGAAGTGTTTGGGTCCATAGGTGTGAGGGAACCTCAGCCAGCAGCCAGTGAGGCCTTTACAAGGTTTGGGGAGGCACACAGGAATATGGAGAGATTTGCCATCAAAATGTTAAAGAAAGTCAAACCTGTAAGTTCTTGTTACATCATTTTATTTTCTTTCTATTTTGGGAACATTATAATTAATTCACATATACAGTAAAACTCGTTTAGTATGAACACGGATATAGCGAATTCACGGATATAGCTAAGTTTTTCTGAGTACCCGGCAAAATTCTTTTTACGGTTATAACGAACTCTGATAGAACGAATTTACGGATATAGCGAACTGATTTTGAGTCCCCTTGAGGTTAAATATAATGAAATTTACATCCTTTATAACGAACTCTCAAAGATTATAAAAAAAATGGTTAATTAAACTGACTCTATTTTTGTTTAGCATTTGTATATAAAATCCAATTCATAATATAACCTTAGTTATTGAAGATATGTTTTTTGATATTTGCTTTCCTAACATATTTGGTAGTAATACCTGAAGGAAAACGTGCATATTGCGAATTCGTTATGTCTATAGGAATTTGTGATACGGATATAACGAATTACGGATATAGCGAATTAAATTCACAGATCCCCAGGACTTATCTTTAACCGAGTTTTACTGTATACTTAAAATTAAATGGCTTTATGAAACGAATGATTTAAAAAATGCATTTATACAGCTATATAATTATGACTTTTATAAACACATTTGAAATAACTTCCTGATAGAGAAAATATGCTTAATGCTGGAAAATGTTTGGCATTTTGCAAGAGTTATTGCCCTGTAATTGCATTTTACTGAACTTTCGTATTTTTTTCCAGATGATCAGTGATCTGAACACATACCTAAATAAGGCAGTTCCAGACACACGGCTTACTATAAAGAAATATCTAGATGTCAAGTTTGAATATTTGGTAATTTTCTTTTTCTTCTTTTTTTGTTTTTTTAATGATATTTTCTATATCAATCATTATTTGTATTGTTTCTAGGCACAATTTTTTTCTCAGTAACAAGAAAATAACAAGAAAATAAATGAAAATTTGGAAGATTATTTTAACATGTCTATCCCATCAAGCATAAAAGTCTGCAATTTAGTAATCTTATTCTCATAGTAACAAATATAAATGATAATATCAAAATTAATTGTTTTGCTGAAATATGGTATTATTTCATGAAATAATTGAGTTACAATTATACACTTTGATATAAGTGAGTTACAATTATAGAATTTTCAGAATTTGTACATTTGGTAATTATAAAAATTTCACTGGATATTTGCTTTTGTTCATTTAGGCCTACTGCCTAAAAGTGAAGGAGATGGATGATGAGGAATACAGCTACGCTGCCCTTCAGGAACCTCTGTATAGGGTGGAAACTGGAAACTATGAGTACAGGTCTGCATCTGCTAAGGGGGAGATGAGGCAATAGGAATTGGACACTTGACTTGAAAAAATGTAGAATTAAAGAAAGAGTTATCTCCCTTAAAATCCTCATCATTATTCAAACATAGTTTCATCCAATCTTAGTCAGACCATTGATGCTGCAATTTATCTGCAAAATTAAAAATTTGATGCGAGGAATCAGGATATAAAATAATTCAGTACATTCACTTCCTGTGATAATTTATCCTGTGTAATATGTCTTACCGGTAGTTATGAATGCTTTTCAAACTTGAAATAGGAACTCTTTAGGAAAGCATGGTTGCTTAGACATTTGTTTTTCTCAGTAAAAATTAGCTGTATGTGAGTCCCTTACTCATGCATACATTATCAATAAAATATTCTAAATTTTGTACATGTTATTTCATTTTGTTACAGACTAGTCCTTAGGTGTAGACAAGACGCAAGGGTCCGATTTGCCAAGATGAGGTCTGATGTTTTAGTGAAGATTGAATTGCTAGATCAAAAACATGGTAAATATTATTTGAATTTATAATACATCGTAAGATGTAGAATAAAGTGACAGTATGTTAATGTATTGCAGGAGTAAGACATACTTAAAAGGCTGAAAAAAATCATATGTCAATTTTCCATAGTTCTTGGAAAGGATGACAACTCTTTCACTTTATCAAGGTGAAACATAAATTGGGACTCTTTGAAAACTTTTGTAATTTTTCTTTGACTTTGATGTTTCAATTATGAAATCTGTTCTTTTTTTACCTTAGCTAAGGTCAAAATTTGATCAGGTTTTTTTTTTGGATGAAAAATCCCATTATTTTAGGGTTTTATTTAATTCATATGACTCCAATTCTCTCCAAGGTACTTTCCTGTAACCATAGAATTTTTTATGATCTAAGCATTCAGTGCTTATTGTAGTTGAAATATAATACATTTTCTACTTTCAGTGCAAGACATTGTGTTCCAGCTACAAAGGTTTGTGTCTGCCATGGCTAAGTATCACAATGACTGTCACACAGTGATGAAGGAGGCGGTGGTGTTCCCTATTGAGGTGGACCTGTCACGAGGCACCTTTACCTACGACACCAGTAATCAGTTTAATGATGGGGAAGATGAGGAGGAGGAGGAGGAAGAAGGAGAAGTGACAGAACCGAGCGAGACTCAAACAGGTGACCTTATAAGTACAGATTGAAACCAATTGAAGAGGTGATAGGAAAGGAAGCCAGAACCTAATGGGATATCTTAACAGGATGGACTGGAAAAGAAAAAGTTTGTTTTGCCACAAGTTTCATTTTGTGCAATTGTCCATTGGAGAAAAGAAAATCCCACATGTCAACTACAGCAAAAGTTTTTTGTATGAACAGTTTACAAACTTATTACAAACTTATTATTTTATGGCGTTGTATTGACTTCAAAGTATTAATGCAAAATATTTTCTTTTTCAATACTGTCATAAAATAATTATAGGAAAAGTTTTCTGTGATTCACTGATTACATTTCTTATTATAAATGTACAAGATAATTCTCTTTCCATCATAACAAGCTTGTGTTCTTCACAAGAATGCTTTCAGAAATCCATCAAATCATATTTTTAGCTCACCTTGAAAGTTGAGATGTCTGTTTTGAAATTGTAAATACATACATTCTTGCAATTTGGTCCACAAAATAACAATTTTTCCAATATTATTGTAATCTTGAAATACTTTTTTGGAGGTAACTTTTGATCTTATCATTCCAAAGGCATTTCCAGTTATTGTGATTTATTTTCTACATTAATTTTGTAATCTCTATTTAATTTTTTCATTTTTTTTTTTACTGGGGTACTATATTTTGAATCTCTTTTTGTTGAAATCCTTTATTTCAGATTATACAATTCTTGTTTATTATTAAATGTTGTTATTTATAGAATTTGTTGTGTAATAAAAGTAGAAATACTGACTTGGTTCTAATTTATATTAAATAAGGAGTACAATTTGGTATAATGACATGATGAATTGTGAAGTCAAAAGTGTATTCAGACTATCCATTATACAATGAAAATTTTTACCGAGACAAAAAATGGATATAATGTAAAAAAAACAAAAAAAACTGAACAGTTCCAGGACATTGCTGTTTATTAGTTCAAGTTTTGCTGTAATCATATTTCTGTCTCTGTCTACACCCCTGGCTGTTGCAGATTGGAAGTACATGTATTTTTAAAGTTCTAATTTGCAATGAATTTCTCGATGAGGAGTATATATCAATGCAAAACTGCACTACACTTATCATAATTTTAAACAAAGCATAAAATATAGTTATAAATCTGTACTTAATATGGTAAACAAAATAGACAACTCTTGAGGAAATTTGCAAATTTAATAATTTTGTACACCAAATAATTGAGCAAAACAATATAGCACATATTTCTGGCTGATTAATGACAGAAAATGTTATACACTGTCCAAGAATTGTGCAAGTTTGAGGATGTTGGCCACTTCTCTAAAGGACTCTTTGTTCCTTCCAAATTCTTCATGTGTAAAGTCAATCATGTGAACAGTCACCTTTCCATTGCAGTGCTGAAGACATAAAAATGGAGGAAAAATTCAACACATATGGGTTGGAACATTATCAAACTCCATAAAGTACAAAGGTTGAAAGAGATCAGAGATTGAATTTCAGTTAAACCTTGTTATACATTGCTCTGACATGCAGCTCTGGAAGAAAATAAGTTTGCAATATCAAAACAAAAACCCACCTCACTCCATTTGTAGTCATTATACAACTGGCAAAATTTAAACCCTGAATATTGAGGTCTGATGAGAATGACATCACACTGTACAGTAGGGGGGTGGTCATGCATGGCATTGAGCGCCCTCTTGTGGTAGTTCTGTATGGTGTAGGAAGCATCAGAAGCACTGGTCACCAGGCCGGCATCTATCACAGCATGGACCGTCTGTCTCAGCTTCTCATGTAAGGAAGTCTCCATCTGGTAATTCTGTAAGGGATATTTGATATCTTTTTCATTTTGCTAATGAAATTATATTGGTAAATAACATCTGCAGTTATACCTTAATAGATATCTTGAATTTATTTGAACAAAGTGTAAAATATTAGAGTATTAAATGATATTTCATTACCAAAAGCACACCAAGTTAACACTTTGCATGACAATGAAATACATAAACCTTTGAAATAACAGATTTTCAATCATGAAATATTTCACAATTTTAACAGACAACTTACATATGTATCCAGTCCAACAAGTTGATGGAAGCTCTGTAGAATGACATCATCACACATACTGGCACTCAGGTGTCTCTGTTCCCTCAGTGTCTGCCCACACAGATCTGGCAGTACCTCAGGACTGCTGTCTACAGCAACTATCTTACATACAGCAGACTTCCAGTATGTCTGGACCATCTGAGCAAGGTGTAAAGCCAACAGAGATCCATAGGACACTCCAACAAGGAAACACCCCTTCTCCAGAAGAGGAGCCAATTTCTGCAAAACAATTCTTTATTGCAGGTGTTCAATAATAAAAATTTTGTACAATTTATGCTACTTAATTGCATCAGTGTCAAAAATTCAACTACATAATAGATTTCTACTGTAATATAGAATCCTGCCATTGCTTTCACTGATACCAAAGGAGTTGTTGGGGTACACTGAACTCCATATAGTGGGTTGTCTAGGAACTGACCAAGTGACTTCCATGATCCAAAAGTACCTTTCAAGAAAGATCAACCAAATCTATCATTATCATCATCATCAAAAAGGATCTTTATGAGACATTCATATGACAGTGACATACCATCTAAGCCATGTAGGATGATAATGGAGGTTTTGTCTGGTTGTCCTGGAGATAGCTGAACCACACAATCCAAGGGAATGCTGAATGAATTCGTCTCCTCCAGCTCTATATTTATGTTTGCATTCTCCTCCTTGACCTCATTCAGGTTGATATCAGTCTCTTGTTTACCTCCACTCTTGGCCTCAGACATGTCTCTGAGTTTTTGAATGGTTAGTTTCCTGATATTTGGGACAGCCAGATCAATGTTATACTGATTGTCCATGATTTGTTTGATTTCTACTCCCATTAATGAATCCATACCAAGATCTAGAAGTGTGGACTCTGGTCTCAAAGCTGCAGGATCTTTTAAACCTGAAGTAGAAAAGAACCTCACCCCCATACCTAACAATTAAATCAATGAGCTCCCTTTTTGATAAATGTACTTCTGAAATGATTATGTAATGTATTTTTTACAAAAACTTCCTGATCAAAAAAGAAAGAAGAAGTTCTACCCAAGACTTTCATGACAGATTCCATTAATGTCCTTTCAGATTTGTCTTCCTGTGCTCTTGCTTTCATGGACACTGGAGCTGGAACAAAACTGGACACCACTGGTTTAGACTGGCAAAGGAACTGGTCAAGGGAGTCCAGACAGGAAGACATTCTCTGGGGCAGGGTCCCTCCTACAGCTGTTACCTTGGTCCCAAACTTCTCAACTGCCACACCCACATCTCCTATCACACCCCACTGGATAGCTAGAGCTGTAAAAATGACAGAAATATGATTTCTCTTAGATGCTTAAATTGTAAAGGCTATAATTAACTACAGAAACAGTTCAACAACTGTACAGTAAAACCTGTTTTATATGAATAGAGTGTATTCTGAAACCTTGCCAAATATGAGGATAACTTTTAAAAGTCCTTATTGGTAAATTCATTTGACTGTCTCATCAAACCAATATTTTTTGAACCACTGGTGACTAGTTTTTCCTGTTTATAGAACACAAAATTTCCAATTCCTTTGTGCTTTAAAATCTTAAGTAACTTTTAATCTTATTAGTGCCTCTTTTACCTGGAAATCCATTTGCTTGCCTCTGTTCACAGATCCTCTCCATAAATGAGTTGGCATAACCATAGTTAGTCTGACCAGCATTGCCTCTGCCACTGGTCACTGAAGAGAAGACAACAAACCAATCCAGATCCTTACACAAGGTCCTGCTCCAGTTGTCCAGATGAACAACACCCAGAACCTTTGGATCAAGGACATCTTTGAAATTTTCATTGGTCTGGTTTTCAAGCATACCATCCCTCAACACCTGAAAAAAATTGCCTTTTGAATTCAACTGTACTCCACCCATATACTTCATTTTCTAGAGTTCAACTTTACTGACTTACCATTGCCAGATGAAATATTCCTCCCACAGGTCCTTGTTTCATGGCCTCCTCTATCAGACAGCGACAACCTCCTTCTGATGTCATGTCTTCAGTCAACACAGACACCACTCCCTGCTCCTTCAGAAGCCTGACCTTTCTTGCCTGGTACCCGGTCCTGATTCCAGATCTGGATGTGAGAACCAGCTTTCTGGCTCCTTTGTCTACTAACCAGTTAGCCAGCTCCAGACCAAAACCTCCCAATCCTCCTGTTATGATGTAGATTTTGTCTGGATGACATCCAGCTGTGCTTAGAACTGGTTTTAAGACTGAGTCCACAGGTTTGCCAACTTGGTCTTTCTCATCCCGGATCTATTAATGAAAGTATTTACCACTAATTCTGCACTTTAGAATCTTGAAATGTAAAAGAAAATGGAATAAGTATATGCAAGATAATTATAAAAAACTGTGTTTAGTCTTTTCTAACAAGTAATTTACTCTAGTACAATGCAGCACCTTAATAACAGTTTTAGAATGATATCCCTTCATTGTTTCTAGATCTGTCATAGCTCTCTGTATATCGTCACTGTTGAAGCATTTGTGAGGGATTGGCTTGTAAGCCCCTGACTTTACTCCTCTAGAAAAGTGTTCCAATATCACCTGGAAGTCATCAATTTTAATTTTTTCCAAGTCCAATTTCTTGTACTCCATAGCATCAACTATTCTGACCACATCTACAAAAAATACAAGCACAAAATAACTATATATAATTTTATAATATTTAATATAATTTTTTATTGTAAAAGAATATGAATTTATAGTGATCATTTAAGCACAAGTTACAGAGTGAAATGCCTCTTACTTTTCTGCACTGCATTTTGAGCAAAATCCATCACTTTTCCACCAGAGGACAAGATGCTGACATCAACTGACAGTGATCTGTCCAGAGCAGTATTCATCACAAGATCCACACCTAAATTAGAACAAGAGGCCCAGGGGCCACATCGCTCACCTGAGCAATTGGCTAGGAAAAGCACATATCAGATCAGAACTGAAAGTTTACTGGGGGGGGGGGGAGCTTGAATTTTAACCCCCCAGGGGGTCATGATTTGAACAAACTAGAATCTACGCTACCTGAGAATGATTGCCTATAAATATCACTAAGCATGGCTTTGAAGTACTTGAAAAGAAGATTTTAAAATGTTTCCCTATATATTCCTATGTAAAACTTTTATCGGCCATTTGGCCCCATCCTACCCCTGGGGGTCATGATTTGAATTTGAATCTACACTACCTGGGGATGATTTCACATGAGTTTTATCTTTCCTGTCCCAGTGGTTCTTGAGAAGAAGATTTTTAAAGATTTTTCCTATATATTCCTATGTAAAACTTTGATCGGCCATTTTGGCCCCACCCTACCCCCGGGGGTCATGATTTGAACAAACTTGAATCTACACTACCTGAGGATGATTCCCCATGAGTTTCATCTTTCCTGGTCCAGTGGTTCTTGAGAAGAAGATTTTTAAAGATTTTTCCTATATATTCCTATGTAAAACTATTTTGGCCCCATCCTACCCCTGGGGGTCATGATTTGAACAAATTTGAATCTACACTACCTGAGGATGATTTCACATGAGTTTCATTTTTCCTGGTCCAGTGGTTCTTGAGAAGAAGATTTTTAAAGATTTTTCCTATATATTCCTATGTAAAACTTTGATCGGCCATTTTGGCCCCATCCTACCCCTGGGGGTCATGATTTGAACAAATTTGAATCTACACTACCTGAGGATGATTTCACATGAGTTTCATTTTTCCTGGTCCAGTGGTTCTTGAGAAGAAGATTTTTAAAGATTTTTCCTATATATTCCTATGTAAAACTTTGATCGGCCATTTTGGCTCCACCCTACCCCCAGGGGTCATGATTTGAACAAATTTGAATCTACACTACCTGAGGATGATTTCACATGAGTTTCATCTTTCCTGGCCAAGTGGTTCTTGAGAAGAAGATTTTTTAAAAATGCCATTAATTTTTCTCTAAGGCCATCCTTAAAAAATTTATTTTTTGCGGTAACGCGCCTCATCATTTTAGGTGTGAGTAGGTAGGTAGGTTTTTTTTTTTTTTTTTTGAGACAAAATGTCAGAAATAAATTTCGATGATATAGAGGTATTAACTATGTCTCAATTTTCACCTTACTTATCAAACAGGAAAATTAAAGCATTCTAAATGAATTCAATCTTTTATTGCTCAAATATCAGAACACATCAGTTCTTTTTAGGCAAACTTTTTCTAAGAAAGTGACTCCCATCAGCCACGTACCTCAAATAACTGACTCCACACTAATGTAGTGTTTCGGGGGTGTGATATTTACGAGGTTTAAGATTTTGATCGTTTATTAATTAGCTGCAAATCCGCAATCATCCCACGTGGAATTTTGTCTGCCACCAATTTTGTGGCGATCTCGTAAACATCATACCATGTATCTGTAAGGTGGAACTGACGTACTATATTTTTTTTTGGCCTAGTAATTAAGATGATTTTCCTTTAAAATTTACTGTAACTGACAGAACTATAGAGTCAATATTTCCCGCAATCTTCTCGGACGCCATCTCTAAATTTGTAGATCACAAAGACATTTTAATAGTACTTGGGGGAAAGATAAAGCGTCGGTGTAACCAAGATGTAAAAAAAAAATAACAATCTGATAAAATCGGAAAATGGATACGTAAAAAAAAAAAGATTTTTGAACCGATAAAAAAAATCCAGTCGGGTGGATTTTGGTGAGTCGGTCGCGTTACCGCAAAAAAACATTTTTTTAAGGATGGCCTAATTCATAATTATCTCCCCTTGGAAAAGGGCATGACCCTTCATTTGGACAAACTTGAATCCCCTTTACCCAAGGATACTTTGTAGCAAGTTTGGTTGAAACTGGCCCAGTGGTTTTTGAGAAGAAGATGAAAATGTGAAAAGTTTACAACAACGACAACAACGACAATGACGACGACGACAGACAACGGACAAATTTTGATCAGAAAAGCTCACTTGAGCCTTTGGCTCAGGTGAGCTAAAAAAAAGAAAATGACATAAGCTCTTCCTAAATTCAATGAAGCGAGTTAAAAAATGTTTTGCCATTGAATTACCTTTCCCATCAGTATGCCGTAAGATTTCAAACTCGGGCATGGAAGGTTCCTCCACGACAACTACTTGGCTGGGATTCAGTTTTGTAAAGAAGGTCTGGATGTAGTTCTTTTTTTCTGCGGAGGGGACAGTAACGAAAACACTGCAATTCAAACTACAGGCCACTGACAAGGCAGCTATACCAATATCAGTGTGACCCTCACAGATTAAAACTTTTGTTCCTGCAGACTCTTTTCCTTCCAAAATCAGAGCCTTAATAGCTATCCCATAAGCCCATAATGCACAGGAAGCCTCCTGTAGGGACCAGTCCTCAGGTACATCAGCTAAAAACCTTTTCTCTACAACTGCAATTGTTGCCACTGCCTGAAAATATTGCAGATTTTCAGAACTTGAGATAATATAAAGTTTACATATTAACAAATAGACTAAACATGCTCCTACCTCAAAATACCTTTTATTGAGAGTCAAAATTCAGTACATTTGACCAACCTTTCCATTATTAATTCCCTTGAGAATACTTTTTAACAGATATGCAAAATCAATACTTACTGGACAGTGTAGTCCCATGACCCTTCGTCCACTGCTGGTGATTCCTGCAAACTCACTCCCGAGTCCTGGTCCCCTCTGGTCCCTGTATCGATCCTTTGTGTTCAGTGAAGCATAGAACACCTGACACACCTCAGTATCTTCTGTTTTGTTCTCTGACTCCATTGGCAGCTCTCTCCACACAAAGCCCTTACCAGACTGGGCTTGGGTCATAAAACACCTATCACTCTTTCTGGGGACCTGATTTTCATTAGTGACTATAATGAAGATGAAAGCATAAAAATTAAAGCATAAAAATAGACACTCTATATATTATAACAAGAGGCCCACGGGCCTTATAGGTCACCTGAGTATTGTGTAACAACTTTCAGAGAATTAAATTGTGGATCGTATTTTAAACCAGAGACCATGAAATTAACAATTCACAATTTTGAAAGAGGCAACATTGCTTATCATAATTATAAACTTAGCATGCTTACTCTGTTTACTTAATACCCAGAGGTAGACCAGAGTAACAAAGAGAAAATGCACTTCCACTTTATAACCAGTTGTGCACCTCACCCCAAAGGAACCCCTGAACCTGGGGCCACATATTTCAAAATTTTGCAAATTTTATCATAAAATGGTTGATTAATACCAAAGAGCAGATTTCAAAGCATTAATTTATTTTCAAACTATGTAAACCCCCACCCCCTGACCTAGGGGTGCCAAAAAAATAACTATTTTGCTAGATGCACCTTTCTTCATCATAAATATATAACCTTGGATCATTAGCATAAAGAAGCAAAGGAAAAGATATTCAAAGGAAAAGATATTCAAAGAATTAATGTATTTTCACTATATGATCAATAGGGCCCCGCCTTAACACCAGAACCCCTGACCCTGGGGCCATAAATGTCACAACTTTGGAAAAGGCACTCTAACTCATCATAACTATGTACTTAGTTACTTTATTTAATACCCAGAAGCAGAGAAGAAGATTTTCAAAGAATTAATGCATTTTCACTATATGATCAATAGAGCCCCGCCCTAACACCAGAACCCCTGACCCTGGGGCCATAAAATTCACAATTTTGGTAGAGGACTCAATGCTCATTACATTCATACCAACAGTTTGCCTGCTTGATGTCCAGGAGTAAAGAAGAAGATTTTTAAAGATTGCAATAATTTTAGTGGTTTTGGCCCCTCCCCTCAGGCCCCAGGGGGGCGGGGACCATAAAATTCAAAATTTATATTTCCCTTCACCCATAGATGCTGTGTACCAAATTTAGTTGAAATTGTTTCACTGGTTTCAGAGAAGAAGCTGAAAATGTTCAAATGTTAACACACGACACACGACGCACGGCGACGGACGAAAACGGATAGCAATAGGTCACCTGAGTTACCCAGGTGACCTAAAAACAGTATAGATTGATTTTCATTGTGTTCACAACTTTACCTGGAATGTGTCTATAAGAACCCCATTTTCCTTTTCTCATGATGTTCATGACCAAATCTTTACTCTTCAAAGACTCTGGCACCTTAGTAAGAGTTGAACTGTGATCCATCTTGTAAATACACCTAAAAATTATAAAATACATACAAATAACATTGGTAACAATTTAAAAAGAATATTAATCCCCCAAAACTCTTCAACAAGGTGTCCTTACCTTACCCTCTCCCCTCCTGGCTCTTTCCTCAGACACTTGACCATTCCCACAATGCCAGAAGGCTCCACTGAATCAGTAGTCAACCATAAATTGTATCCAATGGACTTCTCTTGAATGGCAGCTACTTCTTCTTTCAGTCTGCTGAGCCATGAGCTGTGAGAGCCACTAACTGATAAAACTTTACCCTCAGGTTCTTGACACATCTTTCTTAGCAAGAAAGTGGTCATCAACAGACAATCACTTTTTTTAGCCACAAGACAAAAACCACTCTTCTCAAACAATGTCTCCCACTCCGTTTCAGACATGTATTGGGGTTCTCCTGCAGGCTCTTTGGAGCTAAAATTGATGATGTCCAAAGTCTTTGGCAAAATTGCATTGTGGGTAATTTCAGTAACCAATAGAAAACCATTTTCTTTTATCACTTGATGAAGATTTGCTACTGCTTTTTCTGCATTTTTCTGTTCATGCAAAATGTCACTGACAATTACCAAATCATATTCTTCCTCCTTCACATGCTTCTCCCCAATATCCCACTGAATGGAATCAATCTCTGTTGAGGGAATTTCTAATTCAATAATACTTTTCACTGAAGCACTAGCCACTGTGTAGCTGTAATGTAGACCAGGGGAAACCTTCAGGTAATTCAGTACTTGTTTGTAAAGTCCTGCTTCAGCAATCTGCACCTCTAGAACTTTCAGGTGATTTTCTGAGTTTTCTATTGCCACATCAATGCATGTCTTCAAAAACCTTGCTTGCAAGTGATTTGACAATAGTCTGTCCTTCAACAGGTCACCTTTAAATGCTGAGAGAATATTCTTAACATTTGTCATAAAGTTATCATTTTGGTCCACAGAATTCACCTTCAGTAATGTCTGTAGCAAAACACAGTCCATCTTCTTCCTGAAAATCTGAATGTCCTCTTCCATTTGCTTATTATCCTCTTCCCTGGACTCTTTTTCACAAGAAGTCAGAAAAGAATTTCCCTGTGCCAACAGTCCTTGATTTTGTAACTTCTTCAGCACCTGTTTCACTTGTTCAACACAGATCTGGCAGTACCTCTGTAGACTGGCTGTGACTAAGGAATCTGTGCCCTCCTCCACATAAGGTACAAAGACATGCTCCTCCAGGACTGGGGGTTCCTGGGTCCTCCTAACAGGTGCCCTCCTGGTGACCAAGCCCTGCATTTCTACTCCTCCAGACACTGTGGTATCAGCATACTTATAAACTTTCACCAATACTCCTGAAAACAATATATTAAAGATTGCGATCAAACTCAACACATGCAAATTTTCTTTTGTTACTATATACTTTTTCAAACTGATTAAAAACTGACCAATTCCCTTTCTTCTGAAAGGCCTCTCTCACAGAGCTAGATATTTAAGTAATTTATTTACCACTTTTGTTTCCAGTTATGGGTAAGACCTTATTCTTGTGTTGCAGTGGGTTGATGGATAAATACTTTATTCCAGTGGGGAGGATCAAATGATTTCCAGGCTGACTCAGAAGACTCATCTGCATGATGGTGTCCAAGAAAGCCACCCAGTTATTCTCCCATAGCAGGTGTCCTTCTTCACCTTCAATGAATTAGGTATAAATAATAACGCACAATAAATATCTGCCATTACTTACCATAATTATTTTCAAAATCTTCATAGTCAAAATATGATATGAACTGAAAGAACTGCTAGCCATTACTCACTAGTTATAAATCTGCTCTTATGTGACTGTTGTTGTGGATAAACGAACATATGATCAGATAGATGGAGAGACACACAAGGGTAAAACAGTACACTACCCTCTCTCTTTTGGACTTGAGGTATAACAATGAATAAGTAGAAGTCAAAATGTTTTACCATTTACTGTGGCTTTAAGTATTCCACAGAACTTGGCTCCATATTCGTATCCTCGTAGTTTAAACTCCCTGTAGACTTCCTCCAAGCTTAGTTCTGGTGTGACGTTTTTGGTCTGTTTACTTGGTGACAGGACATACTCTGTTTCATCACTCAGGGTTGTGAGGGGCTTATAGGGAGCCTCCACTACCCCTCTAGCCACCAGGGTCCCTCCCTCACAAACCTCAAAGTCCCCAGTGGAAGGTATTAAAGAGACTGTAAACTTAACCACACCTGTATAGAGAAAAAAATTCTCTGGGTACTGGATTTTGCAATTTTATCACAGACCCTATGCAACAAGAAAACAAATTGAAAATTCAAGTCTTTTAAATGCAATGTTACCTACACTTACCTACAGAAGGAAGGACAGTAGCTCTATGTATGCTAAAATTCTTAAACTCCACAGACATCCTATCATAGAGCAGCCCCTTTGATTTAGCCAGGATCTTCCAGCCCAGGACCAGATACCCTGTGGCAGGAAATAGAGCCCGGCCATCAATACAGTGATCCACCAGGAAGTTGTCCCTACTCTCGGGTGAGACGTCAATCTCAAACTCGGCCTCTGTCTGCCGGCCTGACTGTCCGCTGAGGAAGTCCTCCTGCTGGGGGATCTGCCAAGAGGTGGAGTGATCCCATCGGATGTAGGAGGAGAGGTTTGGGGTGTTTGAGGGGACAGGGAAGGTGGGAGGATCAAACATTCCAAGAGGGTTGATGTTGATGCCAGAGTTAAAGCACCTGCAAAGAATGGCATGATCATTTCACAATTTGTTTCTCTTAACGAAATTCTCAGAAAATTACAATTTTTTTTTCTAATCTTACCTTCCAATGTTAGACAAAAAGAAATCTGAGTTATCCTCATTGTCTTTTTGCATTAGAGGTATGACTGTGCACTTTGACCCCAGTGACCTTTTCAGTACAGCCTGCAGCAGACAGTGAGGAGCTATCTCCAGGACAACAGCACCATCTGGAATGTGCTTCAAAGCTTCCTGGAACAACACTGGGTGTGTCACATTGTTGGCGATGTAATCAGCAGACGACATCTGAGCAAGATCTGAGGACCACTCAGATTCTGGAATGGATGAGCTTATCCACTTCTTACTCCTCTTCTTTGGCACTATTACCTGTTCATTATACACATCACAATTTTTCTTACATTTATTTACAGTTAGAGCTCTTTTGTATCTTAACTAAGTGAAACTGACAAATGAAGCCTTGGAGATACATTGTGCATTACAGTATATTGTTTTGTGGTACAATGAATCTGAATCTCAAACTCAAATTGTATTGCTAGTACTATAAACTCCTCTGACATATCCCTAGCATTCGGCACATCAATTTACCAGATACCAAAGTTCAACAGTACAATTTTTCAAGTATGTTGTTGAGCCAGAATTTCTTTTACCAATTCTCTTTTGATGATGATGAAAAATTTACGTTCATTACCCTTTTTAAGAACTTAAAAGTACAACCTCTTTTAGATTTTCTGTTATCAGTGGAGCCACTTTCTCCATGAAGTAGGAGTGGAAGGCTACCCCTGAGCTGTTGACTTCCCTGGCAAACACCCCTCTTTCCTTCAGGGTCTTCACAAACTCCTGCACATCCTTCAGAGGTCCAGAAATGGTGACAGTGTGCTCAGTGTTGTGACAAGCCGGAACCACTCCACTGGGACACTGCTCCTTAGCTTCCTTCCATGTAAGGCCTGTAAAGGAAGTTATTGTTCCTAACAGTTGATATTCTAAAGAGCACAAGTCCTCTATTTTTCATTTAGACTATTGGTTTTTATGACAAATAAAAGTCCAAACAGACAGTGTATGTTTTACCAGGTAATAATATTTTCATGAGATTTTAAGTTTAACAATAGAAGTAAACAGTTGAGGCATACATATATCACAATTATATCAACAATTTCATCCCTGACCTTTCCCTTCTTTTTACCCAACATCTAATATCCCAAACAAACAGATGCTCCAATTTGCTTTAAGTTGTAAGACTAAAATCTTACCAACAGCTGCCATTCCCCCTGTGGGGAGGTCTGCCTCCAGGATACACCTCCCCCTCCAGTAAGCGGCCAGTAGAGTCTCCTCAGCAGTGAGGGAGCCATCAGCATACCCACACCCCAGCTCCCCCACCGAGTGTCCCACTATACCATCAGGCTCCATACCAATGCTCCTCAACATGTCCACCATGGCTATCTTTTAAAAGACTGCATTTTTCAACAATGGTAAAAAAAAAACCAATTCAGTCTTTAATTGTGTGTCGATTTAACTTAAGTCATTGATGACTCAATTCTAAACTCAGGAAAGTATTAAAACTTTTTAAAACATGCATTCACCAACTTTAAGAAATTACTGTAGAAACCATGCATGACTGTAAGGGAGTAATTACTCATGCATTATTTTACAAGAACAACTCAGGAATAAAAGTACTTGCAACCTTATCTTCATTTTTATCTCGTTAGTACTGGATTATACCTATTCCATAAAATTGAATTTCAAAATGAGTTATTTACCTGGATGGAAGTGATTCCAAGGAAAGAATTCAGACATTTATCGTAGATACTATCTCCACCTTTCATGATGATATCATACAGAGATACTCCATGACTTTGTAGAATGGAGTCACAATTCATAATGGACTGTTTGAAGATGTTCATCTGCATCATTTTCCTCCCCATTGAGGGCCACTGTGATCCCATACCAGAGAAAATGTACCAGAGCGGGCAGTTTGTGTCCAAACATCTCTATCATGTTGAAGAAAGTAAATTTTTTTTTAAATCTAAAAAATTCTTTTAAAACAGTCTATAAAAATTCAACTTTCCCAGGGATGTTAGTCTTAACCCACATTTTACTACACGTCAATTCATAATGTGCTTTACTCTTCTTTAATAAAATTGCTAGTTTATCCAATGCATGCAGTGTTCATGCATGCCAAGTGAATTTAACACATATTTACCAGAGCAGGTTAATTCTATACAGTGCAGTCCTCGTACAATCATATGACAAGTTTTCATTTCCTTACCTGTACTTCCTGACATTTCAGCACTGAATTCAAAATGGTGAAACCTCTGAACTGATGCTGGACTGGAGGAGATTTGGAATTCTCATTCAGCAGGCTATGAAGAGCTAAATTTGCTGAGTTCTTTTCTAAGTGTCCCAATATTGATCCAACCCCATGTTCAGTAGTAGCAGAGAAAACAGCCAATCTTTTCTCCCTTGATTTTTCGACATGAGTGGGATTCTGTGTAAAGTCTAATATGCAGTGACCATTCAAATGGCCCATTCCATAACAGTTGACCCCCACAATTGTAGGTGACCATCTAGTTCTCTCAGTCAGGTAATTTATTCGTCCATCTGAGAGAGATGGAATTAAGGGGTTAAGGGAGTTGACATGAAGATTTGCAGGCATCATCCCATCCTGGGCTGCTAGCAACACTTTGAGAATGGAGACTAAGCCTAAAATGAAAAAGAAGCTTAATTGATTCAAAAGCAGTGAATTTTAATTGGGGTACATGGAACTATGCTCAAAATTATGACTTTCACACCTTGTGTACTATTATGCCAAGTGCAACGAAGCTTGCAATTATTTTCTCTTAACAATTTAATGTACAGAGGTTGCTCAAAAACATATTTTAAGTTCTGAAGTTCAACTGCACTTTACCTGAAGCCGTTTCTGTGTCTCCTACATTTGTCTTGACAGAACCAATCATCAGAGGTCTCTCCCTATTTCTGCAGAATATGTCTGCTACACTGTTCACTTCCTGTGCATCTGCCTTAACATTACAGCTGCCATTGATTTCAACATAGCTCACTTTAGTTGGATCAACATTGCCTTTTTCATAAACTTCCTTGAAAAGCTTCTTCTCCTCTTCATGTGATGGGTAATAGGGTTCTTTAAGAAAATAAATTCTAATGATTATTTAAATTATAAATTCAACAATTAACTAATTTGAAATAAAAATATTTAAACATTATAATGCAATGGTGATTTCTGGAAATTTTCTACATGGCAATTTATTTGTTTTTTTTTTCTCTCCAAACAGAGTTTGGTAGGAAATAAAACACTGATTCTGGAGAGAATAAGTCCTCCAAAATTTAGGATAAAATTAAGATATACAGAAAGAGAATTTCAGTATGTTACTTAATGTGTCTCTTTTCAAAATTGAAAAAAAATATGTACAGATGAGGACACTTGAAAAAAGTTCAGTCAGATAAGTTCACCAGAGCATTTGGCTCAGGTGAAAAAAATTTAGATGAACACCTACTTTTCATAGAGGAACATTTGAGGTGCCTTATGGTGGAGTAGATTCTTTTGGCAGACCTGCGCTTTTGAAGCAGCACGACAACTACTCCATCACTTCTATTTGTACCACAACCTGAGGAGAGAAACAATAAGCCAGAAACTTTTATATCTGCAACAAACAAAGCTATAATTACAACACATGTATTATCTTTTGCAGGTGATGCTTTATAATCATCTCAAATGAAAGTATTCAATATTTAATACTTACTGTTGGTATCACAACAACAGCATTTTCCATCAGGAGACAATAAGTCCAGCATCATCAGCTGGAAGGAAGTGGCCGCCTTCATACACAGGTTACAGGCCCCAACAATGGCCGCATCACATCGACCCTGACGTATGCTATCCAGGGCCCTATCTAGTGCCAAAAAACTAGTCCCACTCCCATTTCTGAAGGCATAACTAGGACCTAAAAGTCAATGTACCACAAATATGACTTGACATCAAAATGCATACCATAGGAAGTGTTTATTCTAAGTTGGAAGAACTTACCATTTTAAAACTATACCTTTCAAGTCAAAAGCATAAGAAATCCTGTTGGCAAGCATGCTGGAACTGGCTCCTATTGGGGCATAAGCATTGATGTGATCTGGATCACTGACATATGCTTCCAATGCTTCAGAGAGTCCACATCCAATAAAAACAGCAGTGTTAGAACCCCTCATTGCCTCAGTGCTCACACCTGAACATTGGAACATTTAGAGTTTATTTCATTCTTTTTAACCATCTTTTAATCACAATCATATTGAAACAAATCTAGTACAGGAGAAATGTGATAAAGTACTAAGTCTCAGTTAGAATGTTTTAAAAGTTAAAAAAACACTTTGCCCACAGTTTAATTTAATAACTAATAATTTTTCTGATTGTATCTTTAAGTTTTAAATTTTGGAGCTATACCAATGTACATTGTACACAGATTGCCCACAGATATATTTACAAACTGAATTTATTTAGTCTTGCAAATCTAACATGCTCTTTAGTATATCTTATCAGTACTCCTACAAGTAAGAGCCTCGGTTAACGTCCCTACGCTCCTTATATACCTCGGACTCTTACATCCGAAGGCCATTTTCTAACGAGCTTGTTCCGCCTGAGATTTTGGGCGGAACGTATTATGCGTGAAATAAATTGTTAACAAGTATTTTTCAGGTACCTACGTGTTTGCATGGGGTATGAAAGTCACACGAAATAATAAAATCCCTTTTATTCATTGTGCATTATTATTGTTAATTAATGAAAATTGTCATTATTCCAATTTGTCACCAGAAGTACTTTCGATTTCACCTCACATTAATTTTACGGATTGCTTGTCAGAAAACGAAATTTTCATTGCATTACACTAGTTTCATTTCGTCAGATTTTCTGAATTCCATTTCCGAATTTAAAACAGACGACTTGTTTCAATTTCTGCTTCGATTTAAAAAATAATGGATTTATTGCTAATGCGAGAGGTTAACAGGGTTTTATGCGTAAGTTTTATCGTAAATATTGAGTATTTTATTATTTCGTACCATTCGTTAATATACAAAGCCTTATTTCTTAATAAAATAATTTATTGCCACTTGGTTTCAGCAGCGAGAATTTTTACAATGGATGCCAGAGGTTACGCGGCGCCAAGTCAAAAGTATCTCGCCGTGAACCTCTAGCATGCTGGAGTAATCTTACCAGCATCAACAAACACTTCATATGTAATCTCCAGTAGCATCCTTAACTGGGGGTCCATGACATTAGCCAGTTTGGGAGGGATTCCGAAAAAGCCAGCATCAAATTTGGTCAAATCTCTGATGGTACCTCCAACTGGAGGAGCTGTGTTGTAGTTAAAATCAAAACTATATACTAAATTTTCATGTATTACTAGTATAAAGATACTGTGATAAAATGATTCAAATGGTTGAAATAAACTGTTCAAATTGTTCAGAAATAGTTATGAGTATTTTTTTTATCACACTGTTGCACAAAAATCCCTTGGGCCACAATGCTCATTCTAGCAAAGGATGGACAAAATAAAATTTTTGCTCTTTAGGAAAAAAGCAGTTCTTTTTCATGCATTCTACAATTTAATCAATGAAATACTAAACAAAGAGAGAAGTGTGTTCGAATAGCCAAATAATACTTTACATTTTTTAGCAAAATAATGCTAATATGAGCTTTTTAGCTAAGTCAGCTTGTTTATGTATGCATTACCAATATCTTCTGGGTTCCTTGTGTGGGTGACCATATTCTGTCCTTTAATCAGATGATTGCGGAATTCCTCCACATTATCTGACTCGGGGAGACGACAGGAGACCCCCGATATCACGACAGACTCCCCCTCCTCCTCCATGCTTACGGGTTACCTCGTCGTTTTTAAACTTTCTGAAAGTAATGACAGAATTAACTCTGAACATCTTAAATAAAATGGTGTCTATGGATGTCGGGTATTTCAGACTACCCGTCGTCAATCTTTTTCAAGAATCACGTTTTGGAGAAGTTAGTGATTTAATAATTAATTCCTATTTGAAATGATTTTGAATATACATGTATTTAAAAAAAAAATATTTCGAATATATGTGTATTCTTAAGATCAATGTCATAAAATTAAAATTACCAAGAATAACATAATCTGAAATATAACATACCATCCATCTGCGACTGAGAAGTCCAATTTCACCGGGAAATCACTCGTGCGTGAATAAGTCTGGTAGCCAATCTAAGAGGTTCCATATGGGGGCTTAATTGCCGTTTCGGATTGTACATAACATTCTTCATCGACATGACGTACGGTGTGAAAATGTATTGGACATTTTAAGGTTGGGTTTTGTTAGGCCTTTGAAAGAAAATATTTCAGTGATAAACAGAAATTTTTAATTTTCATCGAAATTTCGGAAAAGTTAAAATGGACCCTCAGATTATACAGTGAAGTCGCCAATTCCGGGTCACTTCAGGGTGTTTCTTTGATATTTTGCAAATCTGTTCAATTTATATTTTATGCAATATATGTATTGAAAGAACAGATAGTGAGTCATCCAAACACCTTTTCGTTTTCAAAGTAGCTGCACGGGAACAATATTTACAGGGGTATTTCAGCAAGGCCTAGCTTCCCCAGTTACGAATCATTTTCTCCATTTTCGGGTCATGTGACTTTACGGTCCTGGAATATTCATGGAACGTTTCGGAACACGATTTTTATGATGTTGAAAAATAAAACAATTACGGTGGTATATTTAGGACACGCAATTATTTTTTTTTTAAATACCAGAAAAAAAAGTTATCTTGTGAAAACGACATAATTATCTTGTGAAAACGAGATATCTTAAGAAAACGACTTATTATCTTGTGAAAACGAGATATTATCTTGTGAAAACGAGATATTATCTTGTGAAAACGAGATATTATCTTGTGAAAACGACATAATTATCTTGTGAAAACGAGATATTATCTTGTGAAAACGAGATATTATCTTGTGAAAACGACTTATTATCTTGTGAAAACGAGATATTATCTTGTGAAAACGAGATATTATCTTGTGAAAACGACATAATTATCTTGTGAAAACGACATATTATCTTGTGAAAACGAGATAATTATCTTGTGAAAACGACATAATATCTTGTGAAAACGAGATATTATCTTGTGAAAACGACTTATTATCTTGTGAAAACGACATATTATCTTGTGAAAACGACATAATTATCTTGTGAAAACGAGATATTATCTTGTGAAAACGAGATATTATCTTGTGAAAACGACTTATTATCTTGTGAAAACGAGATATTATCTTGTGAAAACGAGATATTATCTTGTGAAAACGAGATATTATCTTGTGAAAACGACTTATTATCTTGTGAAAACGACATATTATCTTGTGAAAACGACATAATTATCTTGTGAAAACGAGATATTATCTTGTGAAAACAACATAATATCTTGTGAAAACGAGATATTATCTTGTGAAAACGAGATATTATCTTGTGAAAACGAGATAATTATCTTGTGAAAACGACATAATATCTTGTGAAAACGAGATATTATCTTGTGAAAACGACTTATTATAGGATTAAACGTTCTTTTTTCAGAATTTATCGATGTGTAAACTCTGCCTTTTTGCTCACAAACTGAATAAAAGTGCGAAGCACTTTTATGTAAAGTTTGTGAGTAAAAAGGCAGAGTTTACACATCGATAAATTCTGAAAAAAGAACGTTTAATTCTTATAATTCCAATTACGAAGTTTTTAAATTATTAAAATTATTTCCCTTTGAGGCCGCCATACAATCCGTTATTTTGTACGGCGTAGGAATACTTTAATGCCACCGATGCCACAAAGAAACGTGTACAAGATGAATATCGATAAAATCCAACTTAAATTGTCAAAACAATCAATAAATAAACTTATAAAAATTCATTGAATGTTGTTTAAGTCAACAAATATCGTAAATACGCGTATTCTCCAGAATAATTCGTCCTTGACCATGGCCATGTTGACGTCATGACGAAAGTTGAAGACCGACGACGTCCTCGATTTGCTCTGGTTCGTTCAAAGATTTAGGGAGAATATGGGATCTGTAGGATGTAAACATATGAATTTGATGCCAGAAAGGCAAGAGTCTGAGGTACGTTTCTTTTCCCTATCACAACGATACCAACTGAGCTGATATGGAACGTCGAGAAAATGACAGCATGATCAGCGAGTTTTTAAAATTCACACTCGTGATGCGACAGTGACATAAACATAATATTCCCGTCTGTCAGTCCTTTTTTATTCATTCGATCATTCATTTATTTTTTATTTCAAGTTTCTTGTAGCTAAAACGGACTTGAAGTATCTGTTTTCATTGTTTTTACAACAGTCAAGAAAGTAGTTCTGATTGAAGAATTCATCGATGTGTAAACTTTTTCTTGAATTTGTTTTCGTCCAATCAGAACACAGGGAATCGATAAATAAAATTAAGATTGGAATTATTATCTTGTGAAAACGACATATTATCTTGTGAAAACGACATAATATCTTGTGAAAACGACATAATACAAGAAAACAACTTATTATCTTGTGAAAACGAGAAGACTGTGAAAACGAGATATTATCTTGTGAAAACGATTTATTATCTTGTGAAAACGACATAATTATCTTGTGAAAACGAGATATTATCTTGTGAAAACAACATAATATCTTGTGAAAACGAGATATTATCTTGTGAAAACGAGATATTATCTTATGAAAACGAGATAATTATCTTGTGAAAACGACATAATATCTTGTGAAAACGAGATATTATCTTGTGAAAACGACTTATCTTGTGAAAACGACATATTATCTTGTGAAAACGAGATATTATCTTGTGAAAACGACTCATTATCTTGTGAAAACGAGATATTATCTTGTGAAAACGACTTATTATCTTGTGAAAACGACATATTATCTTGTGAAAACGAGATATTATCTTGTGAAAACGACTTATTATCTTGTGAAAACGACATATTATCTTGTGAAAACGACATAATTATCTTGTGAAAACGAGATATTATCTTGTGAAAACAACATAATATCTTGTGAAAACGAGATATTATCTTGTGAAAACGAGATATTATCTTGTGAAAACGACATATTATCTTGTGAAAATGACATATTATCTTGTGAAAAAGACTTATTATATTATGTCGTTTTCACAAGATAATATCTCGTTTTCACAAGATATTACCTCGTTTTCACAAGATAATATCTCGTTTTCACAAGATATTATCTCGTTTTCACAAGATAATAAGTCGTTTTCAGAAGATAATAAGTCGTTTTCACAAGATATTATCTCGTTTTCACAAGATAAATTTTTCGTTTTCACAAGATAATAAGTCGTTTTCACAAGATATATCTCGTTTTCACAAGATAATAAGTCGTTTTCACAAGATAATTTCTCGTTTTCACAAGATATTATCTCGTTTTCACAAGATAATAAGTCGTTTTCACAAGATAATTTCTCGTTTTCACAAGATGTTATCTCGTTTTCACAAGATATTATCTCGTTTTCACAAGATATTATCTCGTTTTCACAAGATAATATCTTGTTTTCACAAGATAATAAGTCGTTTTCACAAGATAATTTCTCGTTTTCACAAGATATTATCTCGTTTTCACAAGATAATATCTCGTTTTCACAAGATAATAAGTCGTTTTCACAAGATAATTTCTCGTTTTCACAAGATATTATCTCGTTTTCACAAGATAATATCTCGTTTTCACAAGATAATAAGTCGTTTTCACAAGATATTATCTCGTTTTCACAAGATAATTTTTTTCTGGTATTTAAAAAAAAATAATTGCGTGTCCTAAATATACCACCGTAAACAATTCATGCAGCTTGGGAAAAAAGTAAAACAACCACAGAAATATGTTTAAATTATTTTTAAAACAATTACAACAAAACATGCTGAATTAAAAAAAATGTATTAGGATTAAAAATAATACAATTAAATTCATTTATTAAAAAAAATGCATTTGAAGGGTTAATTCGATTTTAATTTTTAGAAAAAATATTTTCCAGTTAGAATACTTTTGATAATCAAGGTAAATACATGGTTGTCGATTGGTTTTGTCCATATAATTTTGACATGTTCATGCCACGAGATTGCGTGACTACTAGTAATTGGAGAAACTACTACAGTTTGATTTAATAATCATTATACTTTTATTTGAGCAGCGATCATTATGATTGATTTCTGAGTTAAAACTAAATGCATTTGCCATACTTTCGAGCTATCAATGTTTATCTAGATCTTTTATATCAGCCTTTCTGCAGTGAACAAAAACGAAAGTAGCCTGTCACCGCAGCAGAAACATCCAAGTCTTTAATGAGTGCGTTTCAGAATTTCGATTGTCGGATGCTCTCTTAAAGTTTATATTCAAAATTTTGTAATTAATTACATACAGAAAGACCAGTTCTTTATGAACAGCGTATTCATTAAGTTTTTAACACTAGGCATAAAATACACACGAGTGACCCGGAATTGGAGACGACCCGGAATTGGCGACTCCACTGTATATTGGAAAAAGGTAAATTATTCTTGCGGGCTAGAAAATAATCAAGAATTTTCCTCCGAAGAAATAGTTATATACCCGTAAATGGTTTGTTTGTTTGGCGTCCCTTTAAGAATTTTTCAATCATATTAATTGAAACCCCACCACTTGCCGTTGAAGGATTGCAAAGAGTCAGGTACGTTGGCCCTTCTTTGAAAATATAAAATAATGTATCAATGTATTTTATATGTAAAAGATGCTAAAATGTTATTAGTGCATTGTTCCTGTACTTCTAGCAGATAAGAGCATGGTTATGATTATCAAGAGCTGTGAAATGTATGGCCTAAAAGTCAGAGTTTATTGTTGGAAAGAGTAATGTATTGGTACATAGCGAAATAGTTTTATTTATTTGAGAATTTCCTCTGCCCATGGATCCCAAACGAACCAACCAAGTGCATTGTTATGATAAGCAAGGGTTTCTCTTAAAAGCTTGAAAAGTCTTATCTTTTCCATGGAAATACCGGTAATTAGATCAATTATGTGCATAGTTATTATAAGCAAGGCTGTTTCTTCCAAAATTTTGAAATTTTTGGTCCCTGGATCAAGGATACAGAGGGTCTGTTTGAAATATGTGTATAGATAAAAATGCATTATTTCTTCTCTTTTACTGGTTATTTAGTAACTGCATGATTATGCTGACCAAGAATGCCTTAAAAAGATATTCATAATCCCTG